TTGTGTATGGACGTCTGTATTTACAAAAATCAGCATGTTTATATCCAAAAATTATTTCAAAATTTTTTTTTTTTAAATATTAGATCTTGGTGAATTATACTAAGCTTTTCCATTTATAAGTAAATGTAGTTTTTTACTTAATAACAATATCACCTAACTCCTGCCAAGTAAGACAGAATTTTAGAAATTATTATAATTAAAATGAAAACAATTTTTGTAAAAATTCATTATGCAGTGAAAAAAAATTTTTCTTAAGACAAAAGTGTCCATAATTTATCTTATTTATATAAGCAATAAAAAGCTTTTCTAATTAAATAATGTCTTAATTTTATTGCATTTTTTATTTTACAATTCAGAGCAGATTTTCGGGAAGTAGGGAGTTCTGTTTTACAAAAAGAAATTGATAATTTAAATTCTCTAAGAAGTTCTGCTTTTAAATAATGTAAACATTAAGCTCTGCAAAATTTAATTTATCAAAATTTCATAAAATGAAATAAGGCGGGGGTAAAAAATTAAAAAAAAAAAAAAAAACAGATTTCTAAAATAATTTAATTCATTTGTGAATAAGTCCCAAAAGTTTCATTAAAATCTGACAATTATTTGATTATTTTTTTTTTTTTTTTTTTTTAAGGAATTTTCAAATCCATGTTTTTCAGTACAAAAGACACTAAAATTTCCTATACTAAATTTTGGTCTCCGTACTGATGTGAAAAAAAAAAAAACAAGATTTTTAAACAAAATTTTGAACATTTTAAAAAGGATCAAAAAGTATAATTTAATAATCAAGAAATCCTTTGGTCTTTCCTCTTTATAATAGCACAAAGATTTTGATGATAAAACTACTTTTTATTAAGTTTGGGGCATTTTTTTCATCATAATGTACTAATTTTTCAACGAATCAATGGAGTTACACACACACATTGTTGTGGAGTAAATAGTACACCTCTGGTGACTATATGAACTTACCCATTACTATAAAGAGCTCCAGATCAGAGATAAGACTGGCAGCCATTTCGTGTCAGTCTTCAAACTAACATTGGGCCTCACATTTTGAACTGAATGTTTTTGAAGTGGAACAATTACATTGAATCAATAGCTAGATCTACTTCAAGGAAAGTTGAATCATTGTGTCATGCCAGAAGGTTTTTCTCGTTGGAGTTCATTTTGCACATTTACAAATCTACCATTCATCCATGCATTGAACACTGTTGTCTGATTTGGTGCTCCTGCTGTTCATCTCAAGGTTCTTGACAAAATCCAAAAGACGGATCTGCAATATAATCAATCCTGACTTGGCATCTCGACTTCAGTCACTTTCTCAGATGTGATGTGGCTTCCCTCTGTCTTTTCTACAAATATTTTCATGGCAACTGCTCTGATGAGCTTTTTTTCCTGGTACCCCAGCTACATGAATTTAAGCGTGCTACAAGATTGGTGTCTAGGTCCCACCCTTTTACTGTTGAAATAGTTAAATGCAACCACCACTTCTACTCTAATAGTTTCTTTTCTCACACTTCCCGCCTGTGGAAATCCCTTCCATTTAATTGCTTCCCTGATAACTACACTCTTCAAAAATTTAAATGCAACATCAAACACCATCTTCTGTCAACTTGAACCACATTCATCTTTTGTCCTTTCCTCAATCGCCCCTATACCCAGTCTTTTCTCTCACTTTCGCTTTCTGTAACCCCCTACTTACTAGTGGCACTCCTTCCTTGCTTGGGGTGAAATGATTAAAAAAAGAAAAAACTAATACAGGCATCGTGGTAGAGTAGCCGAAGCATTACGTGTAGAGAATCCTTATACGAAGTACATATTATATAAGTAAGAGTGCCATAGAATAATTGCATTATAAAAGTTGCAATGAGGGATTCAAAATGCAGGATTTATAACCATTGTGATGAGAATTCAGAACTCTTATAACAGTAATGAGGATCGATCTCTAAAAGTATTTCAGAGTCCTTGTGGGTGACAAATTATTTCCCACCCCTCCAACCTCTCTCTCACTGGTGGATATGGCAAGACTCTCACTGATCTATCGCTACTTCCATAGAAAGTGCTCAGATGAACTATATTCCATGGTTCTGGCAGTTCCAACCTTCATGGCTAGGACCTGCCATGCCACTCACATTGTAGTAAACCACCCACATTCCCTCCATGTTCCACTGGTGAGAAGTTCCACTCCAACAACTTCTTCCCATATACCACTACTTTATGGAACCAACTCCCAGGAGGGATGTTTCCCCAGTAAGTATGATCATAACCTGTTCAAGTCTAGGGTTAACCGTTATCTTCCTCTTCCATGATAAACTGCTTTTTAATGCAACCTTTTACCACAAGTAGGCCCCAGGCTTTGTACAGAGTGAACCTACCTGAAGATACTCAAAGCTTGAAACTAAGGTAGCAGAATCAGCTGATTTCCTAATATATATATATATATATATATATATATATATATACACACACACACACACACTTCATTGTGGCTTTGAGAAACTTTCAGGAACACCTGAATGTGCTTGCAGTTGTGTAGCCCTGTATTTCAAGTCGAGGCACCAGAAATTGATAACATTTTGAAAACTTACAACTTTGTAAAAGTGATACATTTCCAAAACCCTAAGTAGGATAATAACACGTTTTTATTTTCCACTTGTCTTTTTTTTCTTTATTTTTAGACTTGCTTATGCCAGGATATCACATGGACAGCTGAGTGACACTGAGATACAAATGGCTAAATTTGAAATTCCTATTAATCTAAATACTTACAAAGACCGTTACAGAATCACTGTTCACCATGAAGATGCAGAAGAGAATCAGCGCTTTTCTGAAAAGTAAGTGTTTCTTTATTTTTGCTAATTTATCTCCATGAATTGGCCATAATTTATATATCAAAGTTGATATTTTGTTTAGAGTCTAGCTTTGTGATCATTGACAGCAGATCTATGTGTATTTTGATCTAATTTTGTAAACTTTACAAACTATTCTAAAAGTATGAAAATTAAATTAGTCTTAGACTAGTCTTGTTATCAGATTAAGACTCATCGTTTGAAGTTGAGAAGTCGTTGTGTTTTGAAGAATAAAAACTAAAACTGTTGTATTGGGTGAGAAAATAGACTCAAGTCCCATAACTCATTAGAGTCATAAAGCCATCACACAGATAGCTTGATGTAATTGAACTTTCTCCAGGCTGGTTTGAATTCAGATTTTTCCTTCTCCTAGACTGGTTGCCACCCAAGTCTGTCTTGCTATTTACCCATAGCTGGGAGAAGAATAGATGGATTTATACTTTTCCCAAGGGTGCTAGCATATAAATGAATGTAATGAATTCAACTGGAATTCAAACTTGGCTCTCCAATTCCTCAATCTGTGCTGCAATCCATTATTCCACTTTAACTCCACAAACAATAAAGTGAAACAAAACCAAGATTGCACTAATTAATCCATAGCTAGTAGGGAAAGAGTTGGATTCATACCTTTCCAAAGAGTATTTGCACATAAGTAAATATAACAAATCTGACTGAATTTGAAACTCAGCTCTCTAATTTTCACTTCTGAACCATTATCTGTTACACCAACTGCACATCCAAGCTTACAGCACCTGGTATTTCCAAGCATTCACCCATCTTGGTACTGACCAGGCTCGACTTTGCTTAAGTTCAGTGATTGCACAAAAACCAGTATGTCAACATAATATGGCCATTAGCTGAGTGATACTGCATGGAGCACTAATTTTAGCCTCCTATCCAACCTTAAATAAATAAGGTAGCCTCTTGGAATTTACAATGCACATGCTCCCATTTTTTCTTTTTTTCTTTTTACACATGCTCAAATGCAGGAAAGGGTTACTGCTGCTGATAGGGTTATTAATTCATGCCTGTCTAGCAAAATGTTTTAACATCTCCTCCACCAGTGAAAAATTTAGGAAAATGATTTCTTCTCAGCCTGTGTAAGTCTCTTCATTATTCATAGGAATCTGGGGAGGAATGGGCCATTACCATACCACACTGACCCAATGCGTGTTTGTGGGAGCAGATATGACACTCTTGGATGATGATGATATCTCTTTTTGATTCATGATCCCCCAAGGGTAGCACATAAGTGAATGTAACAAACCCAACTGGAATTCAAACTCAGCTCTCCGATTTCTCATTATCAATTACACCACCCATGCATCCAATCTGATATTCCCAATCAGTTTCCCATCTAGGCCGTACTGGGTATGACGATAAACTACATCCGCGTCCTGGGTAAGACAATAAACTACGTCCAACAGCAAGGCCTCTGATCAGGAGGTTTTGAGGAGTGTGGAACCACCTCTTAATTGCTGGTGTTCTCAGGTCCACCCTGACCCGGGGTGGTAGCACCTGTTAGGGTCCCGGCTATGGGCAAATAGGTAACCCCGCCCAACCAGTGTCAAAACATGTAAAAATAGGTTTTAATATCAGTAAAACATTTTTGTAAAATATTTTTACCAGCAATACATTTTGAAAAAAAAATATTACCAGCTATACATTTTTGTGGAAGAAAAAAAATATATATATATTACCAGCTATACATATTTTTTTTTTTTTTTTTTTTTTTGAAAAAATATATTATCAGCTATAAATCTTTTGGAAAAAAACGTTACCAGATATATATGTATTTGAAGGAAAATTATTAACAGAAATAGATTCTTGAAAAAAAAATATTATCAACAATAAAAATTTTGTCAGCATTAAATAACCCATTGAGGTTAATATGCCGTAAAACAAACCAAACCAAACCCATCTAGGTACTGACCAATCACCACATTGTCATTTAACTTAATGCCATGTTAAAAATTCAAGAAAATAAAATATTTCTCCATTGTTTTAATTAGGCAAGCCAGATATTTTTGTGATAGCATTAATTTCTCTTGAATCTTTATTTTTTTTTCTCATTGTCATTAAACCATTAAATTCATTTTATGCAACATCGGGCATAGAAAATCTCTTCTTTGTATATTGTTGTTAATGTTTCAGTCAGCCCCTTCTCCAACATTCATTACGTGTAAAACGCAAAGAATCAATGTATCCATTGAAATTAAACTTCTTTTCTTTTTTTTTCCCTTTTTTATTTCATGCCCATCTTGTATGAAGGAAGAATGACTTTAATGTTTTGTGTTTACTTTTGAATTGCCTTTAATTCAACTCTTTTTTTTTTTTTTTTTTTTTTTTCTTTCTATCTTTCTTTTAACTCTCAATTGCCAGGTTTGGTCATTTCTATGCTAGAAGTGCACCCCCAGGACAACAGGAACACAAATTCCATATGGCAACTCCTAAATATTTTGTATGAGAAATCTTTGAGAGAGGAAAATAAATTGCTAAAAACTGGAGCAACTTCAAAAGTAAACGGGTATATCCATAATGTCTTCTAAGGAATGCAGTTGATTTATTCTAAACATTGAATCATTGAATGTAAATTTAATTTGGCTTGGCCAGAAATTATTAATATTTGAAGACATTTATTTATGTCTTTATGGCAATTTTTTTATGATGAAATTTGAAGGCAATTTTTTATATAGTTTAAGAGCTTTTATTTCCTTTTTAATGAAATTTTAAAGGCATTTTTCATTATATAGGTTAAGTTTTTTTTCCTTTTTTTTTTTTTTTTTTCAATAAAATTTAAAAGCATTTATTATAAAAAAAAAAATTTTTTGTGATATTGTATCATAGACTCACAAATTTCTGACATCTTAATTTCAGCCATTTTTTTTTTTTTTTTTTTTTTTTTTTTTTTAAATCTTTGAAACACCTGAAAAAGTATTTAAAATGTCTATTGTTCAAATGTTAATGCCATTTTGCATGAAAGCCTTTTTCAATAACTTTATAACATTTCCAGGCTTTCTCATTCATCATTGCTTTCTTGGTCACAACAGTTTTATTGACTTAAAGGTGATATTTGAAAGTTTTAAGTCAAATTTCATCTATCTTTAAAATTTGATTTTATATTTTCAATAAAAATAATTTACGAATATATTAAAAAAAAAAAAATTAATATTTTTTTCAATACCACCCAATATTTCTTTTATAAGCATTGTGAATGCCTTTTGTACAAAGATAAAATGCTGAAAGATTTTATTAAAACAGATATATCCATCCTTCCACAATATGGAAACATTTGAACAGTAATTTATTTCCTAATTATTTTCTATGTAGTTGTCTAGTAAAACATTTTGAACTAAGTTTCTCATAAATCATCTGCTTTTTATTAAACATGCAATCAAAAACTTAAAACTGGTTGCTTTAACAATATGGCAATATTATTTTTATTATTGCATCAAATACCATTCATTTTCTTTTTAAGCAAGCATTTACTTAGCACATTGGAAAGTAATCCCCCAAAAATGTTTATTCATATTTCCCAGACTTTTTTGTCAGTATCTTAAAGGTTAGATTTTAGTTTTCTGATTTTGTTTCTTATTTACAATGAGTATTTTGAATGTAAGTTTCAATAAACATTCATTTTGTAGTATTTCATTTCAAATATGAACGTGTATCAGTTACAATTGCTCATATGAAAAAGATCAAAACTTACAGGAATCAGAATTTAAACAAACATAAAGAATATTTTTCTTAAAATTGTAAAATAATTTATTGATTACTCTGTGTACTACATATTGTGCCCAATGCCCTTAAAAATTTGCATATTTTCTAATATTCACCTGAAAATATTTCCTCTACTGAATTCAAGTGGAGAAAGAAATAAAAAAATGTAAAGTAACTAGAGGAAATATATATATATATATATATATATATACACACACACACACACACACACACACACATATATATATATATATATATATATATATATATATATATATATATATATATATATATGAGAGTACCTCCTCATTGACCTAAAGGGAGCAAGTTCAGTGGTACTCTACTGATGTTCACAATAAAGTAAACAGCAAACCTCTTAAGGGTGGCACAAAGCTCAATTAATTTTCTTTTTATGTTCTGCTGATTTGTCCAAATAAAGCAGATTTCAGGAATCATATTTTTGTATAGTAACTGACATTTGAAATGATATGCAGTTTTATAATAATACAAAAATAAGGTCCATTTATTTCATATAGTAACTAGATCTATTAACATGGGGGGGAATAATCTCATTTGCCAATTATCTAAACTTTGTGATAACTTACCTTATCTTCTATACATGTAATCTGAGAGATGTCTGAAAAGTAAGGTACAACCATTTACTAATTCAACATGATTAATACTCCACAACTAAAAACAGTTGTGCATATCACCATAGAAAGTGATGCACTTGTCCCATTGATATGCATGAGCTCATAGTCAGTCAAATGATTGGAACCACCCTTGCATCTCTGCAATAACAGCATCATGTGTGTGGAACCACTTCCCCAATAAATGTTATTTGTGGAAGGAGAACCAAATAGATGAGAATTTAATGTAGTAAAACGTCCCAACCATATTGTTGATCAGATTATCAGCTATATGTGGGGGGTGACAGGATGACACTTTTATTCGAATGTCCTCATCTCTTTTGACAAATAGCTTCCTTCAGTCTGTCCAGGGTTTCACAGTGTGTGACTATGTTAACTGCCTGACCATTATACCTTTTTCATCCCAGTACAGTTGCCATCAATTTCTTCATTGACTGCTGAACTTTGAATTTTGTGCACTTGGTGACTATGGCTACTTCCAGGTCATGGGATCAACCTTCACCACTGGGGCAATGGAATACACTCAAGTGTCATTGTGTGTTCCCTAAAGTTCAATCAACTCCCCTGTACTATAAGAACTGAAAGGAAATTCCCATGTGCTGAAACTTAGTTATTTGATTTGGAACCCAACATGCTGATGCTTTCTGACATCTTAACTTCTTGTGATCAATTTCATAGACCAATGTTTCATAGCTATATCACTAAGTTTGCTCCATTTATCATTTTGAATCAAGGTTACAATGCACACAATGTTGTCTCCTATCAAACTGGTTACACTACACAATGCTTGTCCTGTAGATTTGTACACACTCCTCTGAAGACACCGAAACCAATATCCTTCTCATTACATGTTCACCACACACAGCAACAGTGACTTTCTGTTGGAATTTTACCCTTAGCATGCAAAAACCCTTGTTGCACTTTGCAAATCTTTATTCATTGATATATGATACGAGTCATCTTTGTTGTGACTTCATATACACATGTGCTCAATGTTAAGATCATTATGACTGTTATAAGAAGTATTAGAAGCAAACCTATCCAGCCCACCCCCCCCACACACTGTTGTTTTGTTTTTACAGCTTTTACAATTTTTTAATTCTGGTTGATTTATGCCTTACTTTTTGTACATCCCTTATATATATTTATGATCATTTTGGGTTTTAGGAAAGTAATGGCTGATTAAGCTCACCCATTTCTGGTGAGATTATTAATAGTGCTAATGTATGGTCACATGCACCCATTGTGATAGATTGATTACAATTGATTTCAGTCCTTAGTCATCTCAGAATTCTATCACCCATTAGCACCCATTGTGTTCCATCTTGATGAGTTTGGATATAAGAGCATGCAATTTTGTAGGCTATTGAACCACTAGGCCAAATCAGCTGAAGTTCTGCACTCTCATGTAAAACTTTAAAAATTTTTGTTAATCATTAAGGTTTTAAAATATCAGCCATTTTTATATATATATATATATATATATATATATATATATATATATATATATATATATACACACACACACACACACACACACACACACACACACACACACACACACACACATATCTATATATATATGAAATCTTTAGCAATGCTTAACCTACATGCCTCTCACCAGTGATGTGTCAAAAGGACGATTATTCCCTTGACACCACTATTACTGTAGACACTTTTGACTCCCTTGGGAATGTTCATTATTTTAAAAAGTGATGATTAGAATTTTAATAAAACCCAAACATATGAAAATGGATTTATACATTTTCTTTATTCTTGAGATATGAAAACAGATATTAAACACTACTTATTTATTAGATCAGATATATTTATGGTTATTTATAAAATCATAAATAATATTACATTGTAGTTGGTTTATATATTTTGATAATTTTGTAATATTTATAAAAAATTTTTAATAAAAAGATTTCTTTTCAAATTTATTTCTTTATAAAATGATAAATAATAACTATCGCATTGTACTTGGTTTATATGTTTTATATAATCTTGCAAATAAACATTACTGAGGGAGTCAAAAGTGTATGCAGTGATGACAAGGTAATAACTGCCCTTTTGACAAAACGATTTTTTTTTTTTTTTTTTTTTATGCTGGCATTAAGGTTAAACATTGCCAAATCTATTTTCTGTACTTAATTTAAATATTCTTTATTGTGATCATTTATTGAAGGTTTTATTCTAGGCAATCAAAAGAAACCATCATGAAAGTTTAACTCAAGGAAACAATAATTTAATTCAAGGAAACAATATTTTAAAGCTTAATCTTGAAGCTTTCATGATACTTCCAATCACTTTACAATACTCATAAGTAACTTGAAAATCTTTCAAGTATTGTCTGTTGATTGAATAGAAATATTTATCTTTTGATTGGTTAGAAAAGATGATTAGATATATTTATCTTTTGATTGGCTAGAAGTAACCCATGATATTTTAATTTTTTTACACTGTTATCCTCTTTTGCTGAGCTGAAGGCTTGTAAATATAGCACAAGTGCTGTCCTCTACAGATTTAGAAAAATGCCAATGTCTAAAAATGTTTAAATGAGGAAAAATACTGTTATTATGGATGTAAAAGGTCACAACACTTGTATTTAAAGTTTGGCATCTAAATTTTCCATTTCTGGGGTGAAAGCAAACACTGATTTTTAATGAAAGTTCTCGGTTTTTTCTGGGTGCAAAAGTTATCAGGAAGGATATTTAAGATGTCAAATTGCAATTCCCAACAAATATATATAAAGGTGGAATGGCAGCAAAAATTTCCCAAGCAAATAATCACCACTTGAAAAAAATTCCCTAAGGAAAATATCTCCCTGAAAAAGATTCTCTAATAAAAGTGAGTAAAAAAAAAAAAAAAAAAAAATTAAAATCATTAAAGTTATCAC